CGATTACATAGAGAGCAGCAAGAAATATGAAATTCCAGCCTTGAGTCTAAAATACGCTTATTTCTAACTCCTGGGAACCAGAATAAGTAACAATTACACTCCAAAAAATATTTAATTTCTGGCGAGCGCTTTGACCAGTGGCAAAACGCAACAGAAATGGTTTTTATTTTCATTTGCTCTATGCTCGGGAAATTTGCACTGAACTAAATTCTCCTCGTGGACCACATAAGGAACAAGTCCTAGAAACATTTTTATCACTATTTTTTGCATATTAACTGCATTAAATGAAATTATAAACAGATGCTGGAGAAACTCAGCAGGTCTGGCAGCAGTCGAGAGAAAGAGTTAATGCTTCGACTCTGGTATGGCTTCTTCATAAGACTTTCAGAATTCCAGCATCCGCTGAAATTTGCTTTTATTAAATGACATTATATGCGTGTTGAATGAATTTGAATATATATTTAATGTTTTACACTAATTGCTGAATGGAAAAAATGACTTTTGTCTTGAATTTCTAAAATAAAATCCATACACCAGACAGAAATCTGTTTTTTAAATGAAAAAAAATACTTCTACATTGATCCCTAGTGATGTGAAGACACTTGGGGAGGCTTCCCATTATCTTATCATCATCAGTATCAAAATTTCACTTGGGATTTATTCATCACCCCCACTCTTTGTCTGCATTACTTTAATGTTTGTGCTTCCAACATTGAATGTATATTCAAATATTCAGCTTTGTCTTGTGAATATAATGTTGTGAAAATTCCACAGATCTTGGGAATTTTAGCAACAGCTTGCTGTCAGTTTACTTCTGCCTATTCTTGGATATCATTTAGCAAAATGTGGCAGGCCTAAATATTGCAGATAGGGTTCCATTCCAGTGCTCCAGGAATTGAAGTTCAATGTCCAGGTCACTGCTGTCTGCAGAAGAAGAGACTTTTTAAAATCATTTTCTTTGAACATTTCTCCATATCAGAAATGAAAGTATTGAAAATAGGCACTAGCTTGGCTAGTGGTCAAACATAATCTAATTAGGTGATGAGTCTTTGTGTTTTCTAATCGGTGCAGGAAGGTCAAAATGTGTTGGTTGACTAATGAATGGTGTTTAGGGCAATTTACGTGATGAAACCTCAAGGAATACAACTAACCACAGGTTGGGAACCCTGGATGTGGATGTGTAAAAATTCTTGTTCCTTGTCACATACCACTTGCGTACATTAGGGGTCACTATCCCACTCATAAATTGAATCCAGCACAAGAAACATGTTCTCACACGCACACAGCTTATTATGATCCAATACTTAATATGTGCACAACGTGATCAATCTATGTAGCCCTCATCTAGTCCTTTTCTTAGATGCTTTAATTGCCGCATTGTAATTTTAGAATGTACTGTGGAACTCTTTGCACTGCGTCTGCATTTGCTGATACCCAGGAGAGTGTGCATTAGCAGCAATGTTGCCCATAAAGATGGTTTAACTAATAGTGATGATATTTAATAATAATATAACTTATAATAAAACAGTATATCAGGTAAGAGAAATAAAGTGTTAAACAATGTAGAACTTTCATTTTAAATTTTAAAAACTGACTTAATATCGTGGAAATAATCGGCAGTGAACATGTGTGGTCAGCGATCATTATTGGAAAGTTGGTGTCAGCAAATATATCCTTGCACCATACTTCAGGGGTGTCCGCTACCATTCATCAATAACGCTCTTGTCTCGGAACCAGAAGGTTCAGAGTTTCTCCCTTTCTAGAGATTCAGGCACAAAATCTAGGCTTATACCCCCAATGAACTACTGAAGGTGTACCATACTATTGGAGTTTCCCTTTCAACTTAAACATTAAACTGTGCCCCAGTCTGCTATATTAGCTGGATGTTAAATATCTCCTAGTGCTCTGCTGAAGAACAAGCCCAGTGTCCTGTCCAATATTTAACCCTTAGCTAACATCTCTAAAAACAGATGATTGGCTTGTTTGTGGGGCCTTCCAGTATGGAAGTAGGTTGCTGCATTTCCAACATCAACAAATTTTAAATGTATATCTTTGGCCGGAAGGATCTTCAGGATGTTCCATGGATATGATATGGTGTTGCCTAAATGCAAATTTACTTGAAAAATGATCAGAAAACACTTTTCCTCATTTTTAGCTAGGTTTTTGGTAGGTTCACCCAGAATTAATGTATTTGTATCAGCTGTAACAATAAAAACAACCTCCCTTTATGTAGTGCCTTTAACATAGGACATTTTACTAAGGCACTTCATAAAAGTGATAATCAAACAAATTTTGACTTTGAGACATGTACAAAACATTACGCTGACTTAATAGATGACCTAAAATTGATCAGAGAGATTTTAAGACACATCTTAAATGAGGATGGAGCAGTTGAGATGCAAAAGGAGGAAATCCTGGAGCTTAGACTCTGGATATCTGAAGGTTTAGATGCCAAAAGTGGAAATCTTAAAATCAAGGATTTCAAGATGACAGAATGAGAGATCTTCCAAGATTTTAGAAAGTTGTAGGTCTTGAAGTAGCTTACAGAAATAGGGATGGGGTGGAGGAAAGACTGTACAGAGGTTTGGTAATATGGATGAGGACCATTTTGAAATCAGGACTTTGATATCTGTGGGCCAATGTTAATTAAATGAGCGCAAGAGTAATTGTGAATGAGATTATTAGTGTCCAGAACACTAATCAATGATCATAGATCATAGAATCCCTACAGTGTGGAAACAGGCCCTTCGGCCCAACAAGTGCACACCAACACTCAGAGCATTCCACCCAGACCCATCCCCCTATAACCCACCTAATCTACACATCCCTGAACACTAGGGGCAAATTAGCATGGCCAATCCACCTGGCCTGCACATCTTTGGTCTGTGGGAGGAAACCGGAGCACCTGGAGGAAACCCACGCAGATATGGGGAGAATGTGCAAACTCCACACAGACAGTCACCTAAGGGTGGAATTGAACCTAGGTTCCTGGCCATCTGAGGCACAGTGGTAACCACTGAGCCACACTTTGTCCAATTCTGCCACTTAAGACATTTATTCATGTTTCTTACAAAATTCTCTCCACATCCCCTCCTAAAGATGTTAATTAATTTTGCAGGGCATCTCCACAGGTACTAATCTACTCTCTAGCAATTAATAATCTTTGATGCTGGTTATTTATGAGTTTAATACATGAAGGAAGTCTTGCAATCCATTTTACCTCATGCTTGTTTTAAAAACAACCATAGCACCTTCCTAATAAACCTTAATGTCACTAATGTTCACTAATGCCCTTCAGGGAAGGAAATCTGCCATTCTGGTCTGGCCTATATGTGACTCCAGATCTACAGCAATGTGGTTGACTCTCAACTGCCCTCTGAAATGGTTTAGCAAGCCACTCAGTTCAAAGGCAACTAGGGTTGGGCAATAAATGCTGGCTAGCCAGTGACACCCATGTCTCACAAGTCTATAAAGAAAAAAACCTTCTTGAATTCTCTGCTTGAAGGTAGATCAGACCTACAGCACCACAATCTCCCCCCTGGGTTGGGTAAGCAGGCAGTTCTTTCATCCATCCAGCCAATATGAGATTGAGCTCCGTGCTGTTGGCACCAAACTGAAACAGACAGGTGGTGTGCCAACAGGGTGTCCTATCCTGCAGTCCAAGTTGCTGTGACAACTTAGACTTTAACATGCATATTATACCCTGGAGCTGTGGAAGGTGATGTTAGAGATTTCGATCTCTTTCGATCACATGGCTGGCCATATTTTTGGGACTAGGGTTCCTATCCCACCACGGCAAGTGACAAATTTAGAATTCAATAAAAATCTCAAATAAAAATCTATCCTTATTGCAACCATGAAACCACTGCCTATTCTTGTAAAACTCATCTAGTTCTTATCTGCTGTCCTTACCTGGTCTTGCCTATATGTGACTCCAGACCCACAACAGTGTAGTTGACTTTTAATAGCTGTCTGGGCAATTAGGGATGGACAGTAAATGCTGGACCAGCCAGTGGTGACCATGTCCCATGAACAAAAGAAAACTGTCCTGTTCTTAACACGTGCCATTTGCTCAACCTTCTTTGGATGCACCATGAATGCACTTTTCTGGAACTTCTGGATCAGCAGCAGGGGCACCATTGACTGTACCACAAGACCCCGCTCTCCATTAGACTCAATGAAGCCCATTTGACTCGATACATGAAATCACGGTGATAGAATATGCTGACATCATAGTTACATTCTCAATGAGTCCATAGCGATAGAATTCTCTGGTTTTATTTGCTTTGAAGTAATTTTTAAACTGTAAAGATTTGTAAGTTGAAATGCAACTCTGGATTTCTTATGAAATTGCTTTGCCTTCTATTTTAACCTGTTGGTTTTAGATAGTTTAATTGAATGCTTAAGCTAGAGAGTAATGTAACTACATGATATTCCAACCTAGTGGTAGCTTGCCCAATTAACTGTGATCCTTTTGAGAGGCCAGATGGTCTTCACTGGCTATTGAACAGGAGCATCGCAAGCCAAGCCACCTGACAATCACACACTTACCACATGGATACTGATGACATGTGTGAAGCCTAGGTTGATTGATTCCTCAATGGATTCCAAAGCCCACTGTGATCAATTGTGCATTGCTAGTACCTCAAGAGTCGAGAGCTGTTATTGTGCAGAGCTAGTGCCCTTACCCCTGGGCAAGAAGGGCTGGGTTCAAGTCCCACCTGCTCCAGAGATGTGTCATAACGTACCTGTACAGATTGAATAAAAATATGTACCCCTATGAGTTCAGTTGAATTAACTGGACACAGGTCAGGAATTGAGATTCATGCTTTGTCGGGTTTATCTCAATTCCACAGTGAGTGGTGCATGTAAGCATAGCCACTGTAGGTAGTTGAAATAGGTTTTCTCAATGGTTCTGATAGTAAAGCAGTTGCTATAGCATCTGATTTTCAGGAGGGTGTGTCTTATGCTCCTAATCCAAAACGCAGTTTCTCTTTCTATTTGTTACTGGTCGCAAGACTTGTTACATGTAAATAACAGAACTTCAGCAGCAGATTTCAGGAAGTACTTGTACAAGGTTTCTTACCAAGTTATATTCTAGCCAGCAGAATAATTGCTGCACACGTTGGATCCAAGCAAAGACTGAGGTAAGGAAACAACTTTGAAAATACAGAACAGCCCCAGTGAGAGCTCTCAGTTACTCTTCCTGTGCAGTTGCGTTGAGCTGGAGCTGCTTTGTGGGCCATAATCAGCTTGTGTTTGTTGCGGTATTAACAGATAAGGCATAAACCTGACAATTTATAAAACATAAGGAGTGGCAAACCTGGAAGGTACAGTAGAAGGATAATTCCAGAGCAAGAGAGAGAAGGAAAAGGGGGGCAAGTGAACAGGGATAGGAGAGTACAGTGGAAAAGAAGCAGTATTACAGAGAGGTGGGAGAGAGAGCGGGAGACAGCAAGGAAGCAGAAGTAAAGGGGAAGAAACGGAATGGGGAAGTGGAAGAGTGGAAAAGGATGAGACGCACACAGGAAGGAAGGGAGAGGGAGAGTGGAGGAAAAGGGGTGTATGCAGATGGAGTGGGATAGAGGAAGAACAGCAGAGGAGCTGAGTGGGACAGCTGTGGAGTATGTAAGGGAATTATGTGTAAAAAGAGAATGTGGAATGCAAAGAAGGAGGGTTCGGAGAGGAAGGAGAGGAGAGAGAAAGCAGAGGAGTGGGATTAAAAATTTAACAGTAGTTTTTTCCACATCATAAATTAGTTTGGGAAAAAAACACAGACCACATCTTAGTTAAGATATTATATGGAATCCCCACAGTATGGAAATAGGCCATTCAGCCCAACAAGTCCACACTAACCCTCCGAACAGCATCCCACGTAGACACATTGCCCCTGCTGTATCCCTGTGTTTCCCATGGCTAACACACCTAACCTACACATCCCTGAACACTATAGGTAATTTAGCATGTGGGAGGAAAGCAGAGCACCCGGTGGAAACCCATTCAGACAAGGGAAGAATGTGCAAACTCCACACAGACTGTGGCCTGAGGCTGGAATCAAATCCAGGTCCCTGGTGCTGTGAGGCAGCAGGGCTAACCACTGGGCCACTGTGCCACCCCATGATTTTTAACATCAGCATTTAAATGTTAGAAATTATAAACTATCCAACCTTTGGGTGAAATTGGCAAGAATCACAGTATAGTGCACTGGATGTGGTATGACAGAATGGACATTTTACCTTAAGTTCTGTAACAACTGCAGTTACCTTCAACTTCTCCCAACACTAATTTAGGATGACTTCTTTTCTGCTGCTGCCCCTCATTCCCATTTCATCTCTTTCATGGTCCACATTCACCAGATGTGTCCTCCTCTTGTTGCTGTCTTTCAAGTGTGGCTCAGGGTGGTGAGTGTCTGTGGTGGGTGTTTGGAAGGGAACTGTGTGGTCTCTGAATGTTCCTGTAATCACACACCTCCCAGCAGAGGGCATAGGAAAGACTTCAGGAAAAAAAGAACCCTAATTGCTTTCCAGTTTCCATTGCTGGTCCATGATAAAAAAGGACCAAGTTCAACTGTACTCACTACCTGGAAATGCCCCACTTTGGATACCGTTAGAAATCTCCACTTCAGTCATTGACTATCACCATTGCTGTGCTGTGTCGGAGATTCTAGCCCAAAAGTTTGTAAATGGAAATATAAGTATGCACTTCTGCAGCGCCATTCACAACAAACTTCTCAAAGCACTTTATACTCATAATGTACTTTTGAAGTATAGTCATTGTTGAACTATAGAAAAAGGAGCAACCATTTTGTGTATAGTAAAGTCACAGAAACAGCAAAGCGATAATAGTATCATTTATCTTAGTTGATGTTGATTTAGGGACATATACTGGCCAGGAGAACATCATTGTTCCTTTTCAAAAATCACCATTATGGAATCTTTTCCTTCTACCTGGGAGGAAAGATGAGGCCCCGGATGATGTCTCATCTAAAAGACAGCATCTTTGATGGAGCATTTCCTCTGTACTAGCACAGGAGTTTCAGTCTGGATTATGTTCTCAAGTCCTAGAATTTTCTTTTAAATTTTCGTAACAATTTTCATAATTTAAGTGGGAAACTGTAAATACAACAAAAGCATCAAAAGCTTTTTTAAAAAGACTATAGCCTAAGTATTTTCAATGTGTACACAAAGATTAGTTAACTGCAAACAATAGCGAAGGAATTTGAAAATTTGAAAAACAGTTTTTAAAAATTATTTCCAAAACAATTTTAGACAGCCTGGCAGTAATTTTGAGTTTGTTTGATATTGTGGAACAGGCAATAAAGAATTGGTTTATCCATTCTATACCTTTCCCAAGTTATAGTTACATTAAGGGTGGAGAGGATGCTGAAGATCAGGATTTTGAGAAAGGATTGTCGGAGAGAATGAGAGAGACTGGAGAATTGGAAGAAAGGAAGGCTGGAGAATGGAGAGAAAAGGTCATCAATCTAAAACACTAACTCTGTTTCTCTCTACTACATGACCTACTGAGAATGTTGTGCTTTTATTTGGGAAGAAAAGGATACTGGAGATTGGATGCTGATATTTTCTGAAAAGCAGAGAATAGCAGCAGCTGCAGAAGCAGCAAAGTGATGAGTGGGAGTGTCACTGAGAAAGAAGCAGCCAGAGACCATGTTGTCAGTAAAAAGGAGGATTTTCACTGGAAAAATAAAGAAGGAAGATTAGCCCTTGGACCTGCTGTTTCGGGGCAGTGATCATAATTGCTGCTGCACTGGTGCTACTGCCCTTAGGTTGGATTCAATAACCACACTCTTTTCCCATCTTCCAACAATGCATATCCGGTAAAGTTACAGTGGTAGGAAGCAGAAGGAAATTTAGATACGTTCATACCCCGGCTGTCAGATTTTCTTTAAAGCTGTGCAGTAGAAGCTGAGACAAAAACAGTTGCCTGTGGTCTTGTAAACTGTAGATTACGGTCAGTTAAGGATTTATGTACATTTGCTCTTGGTATGCAGGCAGACAGCAGCAATTGTGAAATGTATGTCACCCTTCACAGAAGTCCACTGGACAGATGGGACTTTGATAACCAACTGTTAGCTATCTCATTGTCTTCACTTTTCAAAGGTAGCTATAATGGCCAATAGACGGGAGCGAGCAAATTCAACAAGTGGCGAAACTCTCTACAGGATTCTACATTTGCCAAGAAAATCTACGCCAGAAGAGGTTAAAGCAGCGTACAGGTAGAAACACAACAATGGAAGTTGGCTCTTAAGGTCCGCGAGCTTGTTCTATCATTAAATTGTACCATAATTGATCTGTGTCTTCCCTCCATTTTCTGGCATTGCCCCATTATCTTTGATACTCATGTATGACATCCCAATGAAAAATGTAAACTCCAGTCCCTGCTATCATCCTCTCAAAGGGTCCAGCTTGAATTTTGACGTTGTGCCTACCAAAGGAAATAATTTCTCCCTAATTGACGCCCCTCTCTTTGTTGCCTTGAACCTCTGGTTCAGATTGTCCCAGTCATCATTTTCTTGCTGCTGTTTGTAATTACTCCTGCCAAGAGATCTGCTTTCATGGTGTGCCACACTCACCTAGTCTGTACCATGCTCACATAGCTATTGCAACCAGTCCATGACACCCAGCGACATTTAGACTGAACCCTCATTCTGCAGCCCTCTACTTTGACCTCTCAAAAGAGACCTTGGTAGCACATGGCCGAAATCCTGACATTGGCTTGTTTTGAACGTTTCAGTCCTTTTGCTCTTATAATTTCAATTACCTTGTCATTTTCTCTTGTATGTAATTTTTAGCGTAGATCTTAGCATCTACATTTCAAATACTTATTTTCTTCTATAGGTTTTTAACATTGTTTGAGGCACACAGACACGTGGGTAGAATGTAGCACCTTATGAGTTTTATGAGATTAGTCTTGTTAAATTAGACACTGATAATTTCACTATTGGGTGACTTGGTAAACTATTCATTCATTACAGACCGAATATCTGGGATGAGCCACCATCTGAAAGATTCTGGGCAACACTGCATGCCACATTCACCAGCTAATTGAAATTAACATCAACCTTCATTTATAAAGCACCTTTAACATTGATAAACGTCATAAGGCATTTCACGGCAGCGATTATCAAACAAAATTTGGCAGCCATGTAAAGACATGTTAAGACAAGTGATCAAAAAGCTTGTCAAGGAATTAGATTTTAAGGAGTATCTTATAGAAAGAAAGAGAGGTAAAGAGGCCACAAAGTTCATGGAGGGAATTTCAGAGCTTAGAGTCTGGACAGCTTAAAAGAATAGCCAACACTTGATAGAGCAGTGATGCATATGAGCTCAGAATTGAAGGCATGCTGAAACCTTGGAATATAATAGGACTGGAGCAAGTTACAAAGAAAGGAAGTGGGTGAAGCTATGGAGGGATTTGAAGACAAAGATGCAGAATATTTAAATTGAGGTATAGACAGACAGAGAATCAATGTAGATCAGGAAATAGCAGGTGTTGAGAGATGGGGCTTGGTGTGAATTAGGGTGACTTACAGTGAATCAGAGCGGCAGGGTTTATGTGAGTTCAAATTTATGGAGGGAGGAAGATGGGAAACCATCCAGAAGAACTAGTTCCAGAAAGAATATTTTAAGAAGGATAATTACTGCCTCTGTCAGTTGTTCTCGACTGCCACTGATTCTGTGTCTGATTGTAATGTAGAAAGCTGGCGCTGAGATATCACCCAGATAAAAATCCAGATGACCCTACAGCTGCTGAGCTGTTCAAAGAAATAAACAGAGCCAATGCCATACTGTCTGATGAAAAGAAGAAGCGTATCTATGACTCATTTGGCTCGGTCGGGCTGCAAATGGCCTCCATGCTTGGGGACGATGGGGAAAACATCCTAGCCTCAAAGAATAACTGCTGCATAAAGGTGAGCTATGTTGCTTGTGCACTGCATCTCCCATTACCAACAATCGTTGGACACATTCCAGGAGATTTTGCCTCTTGAACTCTGCCCCTCCCCCATTTCTCATCACCTAATTACTCTGCCCTCACACTTCCATTCCTGGTCACACGACACGTCATTCCTAGCTTTGCCCAACCTTCCCATCCAATCTTGATGATCTGATTTGGTGATTCTTGACTGGTAGCCTATAGAATCTCTCTTATCCAAAACCTACAAGATATTTTTGTAAGGATTGAATAAATGTGTTCAAAACAAATTAAAATAATACACCATTTTATATTAATATTCCTATGTGTTTTTTACTCTCGCATTTTGCTCTGTGTCTGGGAGATGCAACTTGAATTCCAATCGGTTGATACCTGAGACCATGGTTGTGCTTGTTTTGGGCACAGTGCTGTGATCTGGCATGGAGTGAATGACAATCATGTTCCCAATTGTCTCTCTCTCCTCCCCTTCTTGTTCCTAAATTAGTTAACAATCCATAGTCATTGGGTGCCTTCCAGCACCTTAGTCATGTTACTATATTCTATATGTGAAATGATAGTTTATTCAAACATATACGATCACAGCCTAACACAATCCTGTCCTCCCCTTAATATTAGAGGAGAAACCTTTGAGTTTTCTTCTCCTGTTCAGTTTCAACCTTAAATCCTCTATCTTACACGCACTGCATCTCTCACTTAGGTTTCATGGAAACTTGGCACGGTGATAGCACATCCACCTTCGGAGACTAGGGAATCCAGACTGATTTCTTATGTAATGCTGAAGGAATACAATCATAGAGCCATACAGCATGGAAACAGACCCTTCGGTCCAACTCATCCATGCTTCCAAGTTTCCCAACTAAATGCGTCCTATTTGCCTGTGTTTGGCCTATATCCCTCTAATCCTTTTCTATTCATGTACCTGTCCAAATGTATTTTAAATGGTGTAACCGTACCTGCATCTACCACTTCCTCTGGCAGCTCATTCCGCATATGAATGACCCTCTATGTGAATGTTGCCCCTCAGGTCCCTTTTAAATCTTTCTCTGCTCACCTTAAAATTATGCCCTCTAATTTTGAACTCCCCAACCCTAGAGAAAAGATATTTGCTATTCACTTTATCTATGGCCCTCATGATTTTATAAACCTCTATAAGGTCAGCCCTCAACCTCCTATGCTCCAGTTTAAAATGTCCCAAAACTATCATAGAATCCCTACAGTATGGAAGCAGGCCATTTGGCCCATCAAGTTTGAACTGACCCTCCAAAGATCATCCCACCCAGACCCAACTCACTACCTTATCCCTGTGGCCATGCATTTCCCATGGCTAACCCACCTAACCTACACATCCCTGAACACTAAAGGGCAATTTAGCATGGCCAATCCACCTAACCTGCACATCTTCAGACTGTGGGAGGAAACTGGAACACCCGGACAAAACCCATGCAGGCATGGGGAGAGTGCGCAACGTCCACACAGACAGTAACCCGAGGGTAGAATCAAACCTGGGTCCCTGGCGCTGTGGGCAGCAGTGCTAACCACTGAGCTACCGTGCCTCCCCAAGCCTTTTAACTCAAATCCTCCAGTCCCGTAACATCTTTGTAAATCCTTTTTGCAGCATCTCCAATTTAATAATAACCTTCCTATCGCAGCGGAACGAGAACTGCACACAGTGCTCCAAAAGTGGCCTCACCAACATTCTGTACATGACATCCCAACTCCTATACTCAGTGGTCTGAACAATGAAGGCAAGCAAGCCAAATGCCTTCTTTACCACCCTGTCTAACCATGATGCAACTTTCAATGAACTACGTACCTGAACCCCTATGTCTCTCAGTTCAACATCACCCAGAGCCCTACCATTAATGATGTAAGGTTTGCCCTTGATCACCTTACCAAAATACAATATCTCGCTTTTATTTAAACTTCATCTGCCATTCCTCGATCCATCGGTCCAATTGATCAAGTTCCCTTTGTAATCTTAGATAAATTTCAGCCCTTCTGATTCTACCAGGGCTACAGCAGAATGTGCTGGAGAATTGCCTGATATTTTCCTTGCAGCTAATAAAAGTTAAATGAAAACTTGAATAACTAACAATTTCATAACACAAAAGTCAGATGAAAAATATTTTAGAAAAATGGCTTTTGATATGCTTTCTATTTATATTTTTAAGTTAACTAGCGTAGGAGCAGATTTAGTAATAACTTTCAAAAGGGAATTGGATAAATACATGAAATGAATTTTCTTTCAGTATTGTAGGAAAGGGAAAGGCAGTATGGCTAATTGGGTGCAATATGAGTTGAATGGCCTCTTATCATGCAATATTATTCTGATTTTTTTAATGGGGGGGAATGGGCGTTCTTTCTCAAATTAGTCAAAGTAGTAGTATTTATGGCATTCCAGGTCATTATGGACAGATTTATTTGCTAAATGGCAATAACTATTCTTGACATTAATTAAGTACAGCTAAACCTTGCAAATTCACAGGAAAGTCCATGCAGATTAACAGTCCCAAGTTAAAGAACGGACCTCAAATTAATTTTTATTTCTCTTCCCTTGCACCCAATCTTTTATGTCCTTTCCTAATTTCATTATGTTTCAGCATTCCTTTAATCTTTTTCATTCCCTTACCAATAAACTTGCCGATTACACATCCTGATTCATCTGTCCATCAAATTTTATGCAGAAGGCAGTTACTGAAATAACAAAGGCCATTGAACCATTAGTCAGGATGTAATCTCTCCATCACTTTGGACAATTTCACTTTGCCTGGAAACACTCACATCTGAACAATATAGCTCTTTCCTATCACATTTATCTAACTATTTGAAGATGTCAAACTCTCCTGTCAATCACCTGCAATCAGAAGATAGATAGCCCTACATTATGCCATGTAGTCCTCACTAGGGCTGTTAATCTCCCGAGGATTTGTTGCAAGTTACAGGACTTGCTTCCATCAAAGGGTTGATCAAACTTTAATGAGATCAGGTACTGGCAAAAAAGTTGTTGGATAATTTAAGTAAAGAAATGAATACAAAAGGGAAGTTGTTGGTATGGCTTCAGTAAAAGGAATTGAATACATCTGATCCAATACTGGCACTGCTGTTCAGGCTCTTACCATTAGGACTGAAGTCCTTGGGTTTTGATGTAGGACAATTGTAATATCTGGTCTCATTGTTTATATGACTCGTTTTTTTCTCCCCTATTGTGTACTGAAAGCTTTGCTTCTCTTGCAGTTTTTGGCCTATTTCTGTACGATTATCACTTGCTGTTGCTGCTGTTTGTGTTGTTGTTTCTGCTGTGGCAAGTGTTTACCAAAGGCTGATCAAACCAGTGAAAGCTCTGAGGACATTCCCACAGGTGAGGAACACATGGTAATGGATTTGCAAGTTAAACATCCATCAGACCCATACGAAAATGCTAACTCCTGTATTTATCCTTCTGATTTTCATCCTGCCCTTCCAAAGGTGTTGATTCCTGCTGGGGTACAGACATCTCTCCAACAGGAGACCATAAGCCCCTCAAGTTTGTTCCACATTTCATTAGATCACTGCTGATTTGTATCATAATCCTATTGTTTATTTGCTGACAATCCCCTACTCACCAAAATTCTATCAATCTTCGTCTTTAAAGCTCCAATTTTCCCACCAGCATAGTTGCAAAAAAGTGTGTGTGAATCAGCTCCCCTCTTTCCAGCCTTGCTAGTTGGTCATAACAGATTTGGCCCCGAAACATTAACTCTACTTTCTCTCCACAGATGCGGACAGACCTGCTGAGTTTTTCCAGCAATTTCTGATTTCCAACAACCACAGTTCTTTAGTTTTTTAAATTCTTTGCAGCATGTGGCTATTCATTTCCTCAATTAAAATGTCATTAATTTTTTTCACCAGGATCAAAATGGAGACAATTACAAAGGTCTTCTGGAGTGAAAGGAGGAGCAATTTTAGTGCCTGCTGACTCAGAAACATAATAGACTTGGGACTATCCCCACTGTTACCAGAGCCTTAAGTTCACTCTCCTAGTAAACTTTAACCAGTGGCCCTCTATACATTTTCCCACAAGCCCTTTAACTAGGACACCAGGAAGTAATTTGCTTCCAGGTTGAAATTTTCATAAGTTATTTCATCCTGTTCTATGAAAACATTGACACTAAAACCATTTCTGAAGAAGGGTCTAGGCCCGAAACGTCAGCCTTCCTGCTCCTCTGATGCTGCTTGGCCTGCTGTGTTCATCCAGCTCTACACCTTGTTATATCACTAAATGTTGTCACTTTATAGTGCTACAGACTGAAGAAATTTTTTTAACATTTTTAAAATAGATTGTGAAGGAAAAGTTTAGTTTCCCCAATCTAATTCTCTCATTAGTTTGTAGTGCTATCCCAGACACTGAGCTTCTGATTTCATTATGACCAAGTACGGACGGGTGAAATATTTCCCCTCTTTTTAATTTCCCTGTTGGTTGCAACGAAGATTTAAGTTCTTTTTTAGCATGTGGGTATACCTTTTCTCCAATCAAAATGTAGCTGACTGTTTTTACTGTAAACAATAAGGAGGCAATTACAAAGCTTTCTTGAGTGAAACGAAAAGCAATTACCTACTAACCATGAGAAAAACAATAGTTGCCAAATCCGTCGTACAGTCTCTAATGAAATCACATAGAGAGACACACACAAAAGAAAGTTGAAAGGAGATGGGGTCCAGTACGATGTAAGGTAAAAGAATATACAATTTAAAATCATTAGGGAGTGTTTGAGGCGGAAGTTTTAACTTAACACTATGGTTGATTATTGGTATCTGGCAGGATCAACAATAACGTATGATGTAGTTATCCTTGAGTTCTCAGTGTCCTGATATTTCTCTCCAATCTAGGTACTTATTCCTCCTGAAAAAAAGTGTCCATAGCCTGAGACAACAAGGTGCAGGGCTGGATGAACACAGCAGGCCAAGCAGCATCATAGGAGCAGTGTTCAGTGCTGCATCCTTAGTTTCATCTCCTCTCTCTTCCAAAAACAACTCTTTGAGACACAGCTTGGTTTTGTTACATGTTTGTAGATGTTATGTTCTCATATTTATTAACTGTAGGTGAGGTTCCACACGAACATTTTCAAAAAGAATGAATCAAACTAGAAAATGGGAACTTTTTAACACTTCCTCAAGGGGCTTCCTGGCTGATTTCATTACCCTTAGGAAGACATGCTAATTTCAGCTTGTCTGTCCTTTGTTTAATCCACATTGATCTCACGAAACTTAGCCAACCTACGTGGATAGGTGATTGCTGTGGTCATTTTGAGTCTGTGTTTTTGGTGCCTTTTATAAAACATCATTTCAATCCATGAAAGTCCCAACTTTAAATTGAACAATGGAATTAGATAATTAATAGTCCATGTTTTATGCCATCAATGCAGCACTTATTGCCTTTTGGGGAGACAGTTCCCTATTTCCACTATCCTTTGTGTGAAGATCTGCTTCCTGACATCACCCCTGAATGGCCTATTACAGCTGAACGTGACATGGTCTTACCCATTCTCCAAGCACCTCTGCTTTCACGAGAGATGCACAGTAGCAACAGTATACATTATCTACAAGATGCAATGCGGCAATTCAACAAGGGTTCCTCAGGAGAAGTTTCCAAACTGGGACTTCTGTTAGCTAAAAAGGCATATGGGAAAACCAACATCTGCATGTTCCCCTCCAAGCCACACACCATCCTGACTTGGAACTACAGGGGGCCCCCAATTTACTAACGTGGTCACATATGGGGTGTAAGTGTTAAAGACCCGATATCTGAAAAACTCCTGTACTTATGAACAGCGACTTAATATTGTCCTGCATTGTGCTCTGAGCTGTACAAATTGACTTGTGAATGGACTCAAGAAGGGAACTGGTCCTAACAAGAGGATTGCTGCACTGTCACAGTCAATCTCCTGAACTCCTTTCCTGACAGCAGTGTGTGGGTGCATTTGGACCCAATGGACTGCTGTGTTTCAACAAAGCAACTCACTATTACTTTCTCCAGAGCAGTTAGGGATAAGCAACAAATTTCAGGCCAGCCAGTAATGCCCACATCTCATGAACAAATAAAATAAACAGTGAATAAGATATGATTAGAAGCAGGAACTTACATTTCCCTAGGCTACAGGTTGCTGCTGAGGTGAATAAAGAATAACAAATCTTTGATTTGATTTATTATTGTCACATGTATTAAGATACAGTGAAATATATTGCTTTGTGTGCTAACCAGATAAATCATACCTTACATAAGTACATCAGAATAATAGAACAGATAAGAATGAGTTTCAATCGGAGAGTTAGGATACTGGAGAAATAGGGTTCAATAGGAGAGTTAGGATACTGGAGGAATGGGTTTAATGGGAGGTTAAGGATATAGGAAGAATGTGTTTTGCTGGGTTGGTTAGAGTACTGGAAGAATGGGGTTTGAGTGAAAAGATAAGATACGGGAGGAATGGTTTAATTGGGAAAGTTGTTACTGATGGGGTGAGCTTTCATCAGAGTTGGACAAACAAAGAAAGGATTTCTATGGGGAGTTAACGTAAAGAAGGGATGGTGTTCAATGCAAGGGTTAGGTCACTTGAGGGATGGTGATTACAGTGTTTTAATACTAGAAAGCCAGATAGTTGTTGATGAGCACTGGAGATAGGATATTTAAAGAGAAAATGTAGACAATTTTGCCAGAAGCGTTCTGGATTCTAATGGAGAGTTGAGGTAGCGAAGGGATTATTGGGAGTTTGCACGCCACAGGAATTGGCCTTGATGAGACAAATGTTTTTTTTCTTTTCACTTATTTATCTGTCACTGTAATTTTAACCAATTCCCCAGCTGAGGTGAGCTAATTCAGCAAAAAAAATTGAACCAACAACAATCCAGTCTCTGAGGAATAGTGCTACACAGATGGTAGCATTAAACACTTGTACAGTATAAATTCCTAACAGAATGAAAGAAAGACTTGCATTAGATAGCACCTTTCACACCTCTGGATGACCCAAAGAACTTCACATCCAATGAAATGTTTACAAGGTGTACTCATTGTTCAAAAGAAAAAGGGATCAGCTTATTTGTATATCATTGTGGCACTGAAGTTTAACATATTAATCGACACTCCCTTACTACTGCATTGTAAGGATTAGCCTTGTATTATATGCTCAAGGTTATGGGGTGGAAATTGAACTCTCAATCTCTGCATTGAGAGTAAAGTGCTACCTACTGAGCAATCTTTATTGTTTTAATACATTTATTTTGAATTTTATGTCTATTTTCTGTTTCAGATGATTCAAACCCTATCTTGGATCAGCCATACACCATATATAGTGAAAACAGTCCATTAAACCAGGAGTATGATAGCAGCTACAACACAGTTAAATAAGGAGATTTGAGACATTTGCTTTCAGTGGATATTACAGCCCAATTCAACTTTTTGAAGACTTAGTAGAACTTTCAAAATAAGTCATTACTTTCATACGTTTATGGCACAGAAGGGAGTTTAATTGCTGCACACTCTGCTTTGCCTCTCTGTTTGATACCGAATTATATGTGAAGAGGTATAAACATTCTCCCTCTGTCAAGTAAACCTTGTACTTCAACCTTCCTTGAAGAAACAAACCATGACCCAAATTCTGGAAAAGTAAATCTGTGGGAATTTCCTTCTTAATTCCCTAGGTTAATCAAGCAAATTCCAAGGAATATGGCTAAAACATGATGCACCACTTAAAAAAAAACCTCCTTAACCCTCCCAAAATATTACAATAAAATCTACAGCAAGACCTTTTGGCTCAGTTGGTCTACGCCAGCATTAATGCTTGACACAAGCCACTACCACTCCAATAGCCTGTTCCCAACCTGCCCATATCAATATATTCCCTCATCCCTTATGTGTACATTAAGCTTCATGCATCAATATTCTCTGTTTTATACACTCCATATGATAGGGATTTGGACATTCTCACCATTCTCGCTACAGAAAAGGGTGAAAATGTAAAGTTGTTAGGTGGTTATTCACTTAAGCTTCAATAGAGTTTTAAAAAAATGGCATTAGATGGTGCTATGTCTCACTTTCCTTAACAGTGGCAGAGCCAGGGTAGGTTCATGATCCTCTTCCCTTCACTGCCAGTCAATCAATCCCTAATTCCATTATCATTCTCATTAGTGAAGAGTCAAAGGAAAATGAAGGTATCAGATTGGAGAAGGCCATTAGAATGCACCCAAGTGTCATCCCTACTTTCTATCGCACATTATCCTTCCTACTCTTCAATATCCATGTGCCAAAAATGTGCCACTACCCCTTTGAAATTTGTAACATTCCCCACTTGCAGTGCTCCCCTGGCACCACCCTCAGCCCATGCACCTGACCTGATATTGCTGTGCTCTGTAACTAGTTAGAATGTAACACTTGGAGTGAAATGGTCTTCCTCTGTATTGTGGAATTAAGGACATTCTTAAAAACAGAAAACCATGTGGATATTTAGGAACTATGGGAAAATAAATAATTAAATAATATGATGTTTTGTGCAATTTGTAACCATGGAAACATTTGGCACTAATTTTGTTGACTGGGGTCTCTATGAGCCAATGCTGCCCCAAATAGGATTTAATGAATAAAATGCGCTGTGTAAAATATTGAAAATGACAACTTCACAGTCTAAGTATTATATTGTAAATTTGAAGTCTGTCAGTGGCTAAGGGCACAATTGATATTGGCTTTAAATTGAGCCATTCACAAGCCTGTAAAAAGCATACATTTTACATCGCTTTGCATATCTGCTGATTACTATTCTGTGCTTTATAGCAGATTTCACTTGCGGTATTGTAATTGGTATTGAATAAGAACTGGTGCTCACTTGTTACCACAAATCTAATCATTAGAACAATGAGTACAGACTTCATACCCCTGGCCTGGACTTTAACATATTCTAAAAGAATACTAAAAGAAGCAGATAGCCAATTCCTCTCTACAGATGCAATGCCTAAATTGTGGAGTTAGTGCTTCAGAACGGATTGATGGTTTTGACAGAACAATTGCACTGAAGTATCATCCCAAGTTAATTAAAAAAAGAAATGGAAATCATGTGGCACAGTTCGCTCCTCATCCCAGGATCGTGGGGACATTGGAAGAAAGTGTTTGGGGATTATTTTTAAAAACTGAGTTGTCCTTTCAACCTTGTAAACTGGTAAGCCAATTGCTCTCAGCTCAAAGCATTTTAGTCCAATGACAAGTCTAACAGACATTTGAACTATCTGCGTCAGTCATGACATTAGAGTTGATAGCTCCACCATCTGTGTTACAACATCTACTTAATGTTCTTGGATGATTAAATCACTTGTAGACTATTTAGCTCCTTTGATCATCTGCTGCGCCCTTTACTTCAGCTTCCTGGGATAAATATTACAGTTTATCATCTGCAAAGCAATGGATGGACCTTCTGCAGATAATTGGCAAATTTATTGTTTAGCCACATCCCAAATTCCTGTGACAGTAATTCAATGGGATCTTTTACATTGAACTTGGTAGCTAGCAGAGCTTTCACACAAGACCATATCTGAACAATTGCACCTCCGATAGCACCACTCTAATGGTCCTGTACAAGGGGCATCAGTCTGGATTTTGTGCTCAAGCGTCTAAGTTGGAATTTGAACTCACGTACTTTTGAACTGCACACAGTTGTACTGCCCACTGAGCCATAGCTGACACATCCATGATTTAGATTAATTTTAGACATAGGTTACACAAGTTCAGCAGAGGGGAGCAATAAAAATCACAGCTTTTAGTCCATAACAGATACAATCTAATTATTGAAACTACTGTCAAGCCAATTAAAGAAAAATAACTGAAAGCCCCTCACTGAATTGTAAAGCCCAAGAATATTAGGCTGACATTTGAGGAAGACTAATTGTGTTGACTCTATATATGGTTGGTCAACACTGACTGTCTGTCCTGTGGACTGACCAGTGGAGTGGCAGCAGCGACTGATTGTGGAACTGTATTGCACTGATAATCCCTAAAACCCAGTCTTTATCTCTCCCCATTTTAAATCAAAAAGACTTGCATTGCTATAGAACCTTGCATGACTTCCCATAAATATTTTATTATTCTTTATATGAATTTGTTTCATCGTTGTAACGTAGGAAATGTTGCGGAAGATACACACCCAAGATCCCACAATCCACACTGGGATTTTGACCAAATGGTTTGATTGCCTTAACGGCAGCTCCCCCACTGATTTACCACTAATGCCCAGACGAGTTGCAATGAACCTGCAGGACTGACAATGTCCCACTCCTGGACTGTAGTGATAAGGACTCCAACATTTACTGCTCTAAGCAGTCGAAGGCAGATCCGAATCCCCGAAGTGATGTTGCACATTGCTTTTGACTTACTGTGCTGGCACCTCCTGTCTGAAAGCTGTCTCCTTTGCCCTGACTGAAGACTACTCCCCGCAGAATTTGAGACATGGCCATTTGGTTGATGCATATGCAGTGCGTTTGCCACATAAGCTGCTGAGACTTAGTGAGATTGATATAGCTCAGTGCCATACAACAAGATGTCTTCCCCTTGACAGATGACTGCTGACAATCATGACAAGCTGCTTGGTTTTATCTCTGCGCTAGAAAGAAGTAAGCCTTCAAGCTCTGGCTAAGGAGTCAAGACACAAAAAGGCAGAGATGCTGTGAGGATCCAAGAAGGCTCATAATGAGTGAGTGTTATGAGACCAAGCGAGAAAACAAGCAAGAATCAACCTGGTCAAATCCATGAGCTGGGTGCCTGTCCCTGTGCATTAAAAAGTTCTGGCAGCAGCATTCCAGGAAGAGGTGCTGGAGCATTCCAGAGAGCAGCATTCAAGTGCCGAACTGTATTGTAATTGGATCAGAGATGTGGTGAAACTGAGAGGTGTCCAAAACCAAAGTCCGTGATCATTGTCCATGAAATGTTCCATGAGATGTTGGGAACTGCTGAGTTGGAGGCCTGGAGGTGGAAACAATGAGCCGGAATTGCTCTGACTTACATGTTGATATCTAGTTTCTAACTGATGGGTGGGACGATTGGAAATAGTATTTCAGGGAGGTGGAATTAGTTAAAATGGCATGCTAATGCATTCAAATGGATGTAACTTAGTCCTTTGCCCTTCATGAATGAGATTCTGGCCTCACCGTTCAAAAGTTGGTTGGAGAATTGGACTTTGCTTCCCCTTGCTGTCAAGAATCTCATTTGTCGATCTCATCCTATTTTCCCAAATGATTCACCAATGCCCACGTCAAACAGGGCCTGGGACAATTCCACCCACTATTTTCTCAATAAAAGAAGTGTAACAGCTGTTACAGTAACAGTGGTGTTGTCAAACTGACTTTAGAAACTTGTAAGGTCATCTAACAGTGAGTCGACTCTCATCCCTATAAATGGAGCTGCCTGTTTATTTGAGAGTTCAAAATCTACCTAAATTGGCATACAGCCAAGGGGGAATACTGTATCACTGGAGCAGATGGCTCTTTGAGACATGGTTTAGAAAAGCCTTAAAGCTCTAGTAAGCTTTCCGTCCCCCTCTATATGAGTGACCAGACGAGACTGCATTATTCCCATTTATGTTTCTCCAGAGTATACTGCCTGTTTAAAAATTGCCTGAGTGAGCAGCTGGACAACCATAGCCAAGGACCACCAAAATAAAATAAACTGACTGCCATGTGTTTAACATAGCTCTGCAGCTGCTCACTGGATACATTTTAAACTTTACCGATAGGATATTTTACCCCTCTTCCCTTCCTCGCACACATTGACTCCGAAGTTCCTGTTCCAGAGATCCTTGCCTTCCTCGAGGTAACTCACCGAGTTCATCAGTGTGAGAGTGAGCCAAGCTGATGGGAGAATACATCAAAGCTAGACCCTGTCCTGTACTTGCCTGATAGGCACCAGGGGCTACTTCCATTTTATCAGAGTTTACTGGGATCATTATTGATTATCGATACCTTCCTATACCTAATTCAAGATTGGCACTGCTGGCAACCAGAAATTCAGAGCGAGGGGCTCAGCAGTATAAAAGGGTGTGCTTCCTGTCACACACCATGACACTGGGTAAATCATCCGAGACCTCGTGTTCAGTAGGAGCCTCCCAGGTAACAGTAGTCCCATTTAATAAACCCATTACGTAGAAAATAGGAGAGCTGTACGCTCATTACCAACTACTGAATGTGTTGCAGAATTAATGAAATGTTTGACTTGTAACTTCAACCAAATCAGCTTGGCTTCAAAATATAAACCCTGCCAAATACCTAGGGTTCTTAATTTTAAAAAAAACCTACAAGATTTTAGTCCAGGCTCATTAGATAGCCCTCGAAGTCAAAGGTTGAGGGGTCAATTCCCAGTTCAGAGACTGGACCACATAACCTAGGCTCACACTTCAGCTCTGTATTGAGGACACTGCACAATCAGAATTGCCAGCTTTTAGCTGAGATGATAAATTGAGACCCTCCATTGGCCTCTAAGGCAGACGTGAGAAAAAGTCCCTTGGCACTATTTCGAAGAAGTGCAGCAGAGTGTCCTCAATGTCTTGGCCAATATTTATTCCTCAACCAACATCTAAATCAGATGATCTCGTTGTTGTTGCATTGCTGTTTGTGAGACCTTGCTGGAAAGAGGTTGGCTGCTGTGTTAATAAAAACAGAAGATGCTGGAGAAACTCAGCAAGCCTGGAAGCATCAGTAGAGAGAGAAACAGAGTTAATGTTTCAAGTCCCATGACTCTTCTTCAGAACTGACTAGCGGCTGTGTTTACTGAAGTGACCACATTTTGAAAGAAGTTCATTGGTTATAAATTGCTTTTGGAAATCCTGAGGTCACAAAAAGCAGTTTTTAGTACTGTTACAAAGTGTACTTCTTCATTTCACGTTGGTAACATTTCACAACATGTGAAGGATGTACAATAGAAACGATTCATACAGCATTTCCGTCAGAAATAAAAACTGAAAGAACTGCGGATGCTGTAAATCAGGCAAAAAAATTTGCTGGAAAAGCTCAGCAGGTCTGGCAGCATCTGTGAAGGAAAAAAATCAGTTAATGTTTCGGGTCCGGTGACCCTTCCTCTGAACTCAGAACCCTTCTGAGGAAGGGTCACTGGACCTGTAACATTAGCTCCGTTTTTTCCCTCACAGATGCTGCCAGAACTGCTGAACTTTTCCAGCAATTTTGTTTTTATTTCTGTCAGAAATGTTTGGCAGGAACTGAAACACAATGAACTGCATTAAAGTACAAAAGTTGTTTTGTAGAACAATGTGCCGACCGTTTTCCCATTTCATGTTCCCACTGACACGAACAAGATGGGTCTGTTTTTCATGAGATAGGAAGTCAGCGCCCTAGGAGAACTACTCTATCTTGTTGAATAATGTCAAAAATCCTTCTCGCCACTTGAACAGAAATCTGTTTGGAACGGTAACACCACTGGCAATGTGGCACTCCATCAGTGCAGCACTGAAATATTAGGTTTTGTTAGTCTATTGTTAGCCACTTAACATTCC